CACTTATTCCGATTACTGATTAATTTTAAATAAAAAATATACGATACTTTGTTTAGTTTTCCAGCGATAACTTCGACAATATTGGAGATAACGTAAATTTATTTTTCTACTTTTAGTGTTTACTTTTTCGGAGTCAGTTTAATTTTTAGTCGGTTTTATTTAAACGAAATTATTTTACTTTTTTATGCAATTATGCTTACGTATTGTTCCATTGTTTATTTTTAAGAAAATAAAAAACTTCTTTCAATGAGGGTTTTCGCGATTGAAAAATCCGCCAGATGGCAATACGTAGACGCGAGGTCCAAATGCTGCATGATTGGTTATTTTTGACATGACATTGACAGATATGTCAAAATCCACCAATCACGCAGCAAGCAACAGAAGTTTAATAACTTTACGGATATCATTGATTGTTTTACTGTCCAGTGTGCTTTTTGATTACATCTGTGCATACAGTTTGTTTCCTGTTCTCGAAAATTTCATAATCAGTTCACATTCAATGTTGCGACTTTGTTGCATATTTTTAGTATTTTGACGATCACCCGGCGATGATACGCAAGTACTACAACATTTCACTTCGCGATTAACGAGAGGTTTTGTCGCATCACTAGTTCACAGACTAAAAATATTTTTATGTCAGTTGGCCATATTTGATGACATTTCTGCTGATTTCTAAAAAATTAGACTGTACTTTCGGACTACTCGTTAGCCCGTGACAAATAGTTCTCCGGGCATTGTCCACAAACGATCAGCGCGTGACACAAATACATTTTCTTTACTAATACACTTAGATTAGCCTGAAATACGGCCCTTTCACGTTTCCAATTCCATCTGCGACAAAACGTAACAAACGTACTATCAAATAATATGTAGCAGCACAATGGAAGAAAAATATATAGAGGGCGGTGATAAATCATAGTAATGGAGCGCCACAATGCTACAGCAATCAGGAGATGACGTGCTTTGTGGGCCCACCCCCTGAAGAATTTATATCAAACAAAGATACTGAAAGGGGCCGCGGCCCCCCCTTATCGACCGGGCCAACCCCCACCCAGGGGGGGTTCGTACGAATTACGGAGAGATTTATGTTACGCGAGCCACTTAGCAAACTGTCGGTTAATGAATATGACCCAAGGAGGTGTTTTAACGGTAAGACGGTGGGGTTAGGAGGCGAGGTTTCAGCGTTTCGGGTTAAGGCAGCTGCACATTTGTCTACACAAGTCTGATGTTAAATTACTCAAGCATATTATAGTTACACTCACTTTCTTTATCGGATAAGTACTTACGCCGTCTTCATAAACAACCACAAACCAGGTGCAAGAAATATGCAAAGTCCTAGATATAAAATCCTTTTTGGAAGTCGTTTAAACCAGCTTAAGCAAAATAAATTCCAATTATTGTCATCATTTGCATGACGCTTGCAGACGTGTCACATACAAATGACAGGGCTATTAGACTAACATGGGCTAAATAAATAGGCAGTCTGGACAGTGCAGGTGTCAAACAGGCGTTGGATTTAGACTGGGTAGCGCGGTGGCACTCGCGTGACTGCAGGAAAATGATCAATGATTGCTGTCATTATCGTCAGGTTGATGTTAGATGCTCATATTGCTCATGTTTGGAATGTTTTCTGTCTTACTATAATTAGTTGGTTGTATTAAAAGTGTAGACTAGTATTTTGAGGTGTGGTCATCTAAAAATAGAAATAAGTAATTAGCATTGGGGAAATTAAGCAGTCTCGAATGTCTTGAACCTTGGCAGAGATTTACAGCTATGAATAATTATCTTCATTTTACAAAGGTGTTGTAGATTTATTTTATGATATGGAGTGACTTCAGCTGTCAAACTCTTCCTCAATATGTGTGACCGATCACATATTTTCACGTATCATAATGCTATCATAAATATCTTCGCACGTGTGTTCTTTTAATTTCTCATAAGGCCAATTATGGCAAATTAAACACCAATTTTATGATAAACAAATTATAAATTATGTGTTTGGTTTGCCTTTGCTAGTACCATATTATCTGTGCCGTTACTATTTAACGTTAAAAGTCACGAATATATCTCAAATTGAATCTAAAGGTTACATATTTAAATATTTAATGAAAATACTGAAATTGGCGTAAACTTCGACATCCGAAAGTTCGCATTGTTCTTTATTATTGTTTGCATATTCTATTGAGTACTTCGGAATTAATTCGTGGAAGTTGTAAGTAGATTTTGCGGGCGCAGTGATCAATGCGGGGCGTCTAAGCCAAACCGGCAAACTCGAAAAATGCAAATTGTGCGAAATCCCGTGAAACAACGCAATCCCGGCAACACTTTTCCCGGACGGGGCTTATTACATGTCTGTGGCTCTATAGAGTTTGGATGGCTATTCATGTTAAACATATTTCGTTTTGTATTTTGTTGAAATTAAGGACATGTTTATAAATTAATAAAAACAATTTTAAGTTATTTTTAGTGGGAAAAATATCTACCAATTTGTCTTAAAGTAATATCATGGCTGGGTTGCTGCACCATCTTATTTTAACTGTAACAAACGTCACAAATCTGTCAAGCTCTATAAAAACACCGATTGTGTTTATAGTTACAGTTAAAGTCTTCAGTCTTCCTTTTAGTGATAATAAGCCGATTAAATCAAATTCGATCACTTTACTGAAATAAAAATTATAATTTCAATAAAAAGCGTAACCAAGTATTAATATTATTTAACGAGTCTTAAATATTTACAAAAGATATTACCCGAATGCGTCCATTGTTATTATTTGAAAGGTTATATTTAACATATCAAATTATGTAGGACCGTTTTTTTGTACCCCGCGCGGGTAGTCACAGAAATTATACGCCGTGCGGTTGACAGCCGGGTGTGTTACTGTGTGCGTTGCTTGTTCAAACTCATTGTAACTTAAATGCGTGATAGAAATCAAGCTCACCATGTAATGCAAATGGATTTTGTTAGAGTTGCTTGAGTTATATTTCGTTCTGAAATATTTTTTGTCGGACACATTGAAATATACAAAAAAGTGACAGGTGTTGATAGGTGTAATGTTGGCCGTATTCAGGTTATAAGGTAAAATATATACTTACAAAACTCTACATTTATTCAAACTGTGCAGATCTATTTTAAATTGACTTTCTATAACATAAATAAGCTTGAATTACAGAGCTATGTATTTTTCCTGGCATTTATAGGTAACATTGTATTTATTTCTTTCACCCACAAGGTGGACTGACGACATCATAAATGTAGCAGAAAAGCGCTGAACGCAGACCGCTACCAACCAGGCAACATGGAAAGCATTGGGGGAGGCCTATGTTCAGCAGTAGATGTCCTATGGCTGAGATGATGACGATGATTTATTTCTTTAGCTTTTTGGACTGCAAAAAGGAGCAAGTAGTCACAAATAAAATGATCAAAAAGAGTTAAAGTATCCAGAAAATCAACTCTTTTACTATATACTTACCTACTTATTTATGTAAAGCAGTAATTAAATGTTTATTTGTATAGTAAATGGTAATTTAAATTGAAACCACGAAGGGTAATTATGTTATTTATAACAAGTTTAACGCTAATTATTGCCAACACAGACGGTTAACAGCACAATTAATTATACCTCAACAATTAAAAATGTTTTATTTTCTGTTACATTTCGTTCTCCGACATTTAATTTATCACTGTTAGTTTAAGTAATTACAATGGTCTTCTAGTAGCAATTAGTGCTTCTGCAATTTTTAACCATCCATCGGTATGTTGATTGCCGTTGGTTAAAATATTGGTGTATGTTTTAGAACTTTCAAGGGTTCAAAATATCAAACTCATACTCATAATTATTTCATTTTTACCATTTTTTTATATTTAATGACAAAACTAATCTCCAACCCTGTATAATGTTACAAAAAATATAATTTCAGAAATGTTTCTCTTACATAAATTTCCAAATATTCCAAAATCACTATTCCGAAAACGCAACGGCTCTACCAAGCCTGTAATAAAAAACCTATTACTATCGAGACACGTAATTTGTAAATATACGAGTAACTCGACCCACAATCCCGGGAGGGTGGGAGGGGGAAGGGGGATGGGGGCACCTGTGTAGCGTTACAGCCGCCTGGGTGTGGTTTGCCGTTCAATAACTTAATACTCTGGAAAGGCTTTCACGCTGAAATCTCGCTGAAGTGTACTCGGAATGGGAGGTCTTGATAGTTGCCGTTATTTATTTTGATTTAAATCTTCGTTTGAAACGGAAATGGCATAAATAAGCAGCTCTATTTTCAGGAATAAATAGAGTGCTTAGAATGGTGATTTGTCATACTATACAGCTTGGCTCAAACCAATGAATAACCTTAAAATATAATAATATCATCCATGTAGGTACATAACTAATTTTGAAAGAAGAAATAATCGAGATTATACCAAATTGGAAATGTGTTTGTGTTACATAAAGTTTAAGTGGTTTTGGAAATTACACTTTCAACAGTGTTTCGGTAAGTAGAACATTATTGTAGTATTGATTTTATAAATAATGTAGGCCACATTTTTGAATTGAATTTGATGATATGCTTTTGTAATATCCATTAAATATAACGACGTTTTTAGCGTGTGATTAAAATTGTCAAAAATTTAGTCATTGGTTAAAACACAGTTGGGTGAATATATGGAAGCTGCAGGCTATTAATTGCAAGTTTGCAGGTAATCGATCGAGGCAGAGCACGAGGTGCATCGAGGGATCATAGAGTGTCGGTCGGCTGGCGGCGCGGCGCGGGCGGCGGGTGTGCGTGACGGATCATGGCGGCGCGGGGGGGCCGCGCCCCGCCGCCCTCGTTAAACGCGCCCGCCGGATACGCGCCGCGGCGCGGTTGAAAGCTATCCGGCCCCCGGCGGGCGGCGCTCGCGATTGGCCGACGCGCCGCGCGCACCGTAACCGATAGCCAATCGCGCGCGCCGCGTCAGCACGCCCCCAGCCGCCGGCCGGCTCGCGCTCACACGGCGCGCGACTCCGCCGCGCACACTCGCACCGATGCGCGGCTCCTGGGACGAGTCCACGACGGCGGCGCTGCACGCGCGCATCCTGGAGGCGCACCGCGGGCCCGCGGCCGACCGCGCCGCCGAGCCCGCGCCCTGCGCCGACCCGCCGCCCGGCCTCTCCATCAACGCCGTCGAGCTGGCTGCGCCCACGCCTCTCCTGCCGCTCCCGACGCTCTCCTTCAGCGCCGCGCAAGTCGCCACCGTCTGCGAAACACTCGAAGAAAGCGGAGACGTCGAACGGCTCGCCAGATTTCTGTGGTCTTTGCCAGTCGCACATCCAAATGTGGCCGAACTCGAAAGATGCGAGGCCGTACTTCGGGCGCGAGCCGTCGTGGCTTTCCATGCGGGACGGCACCGAGAGCTATATTCCATACTGGAGAGACATCGCTTCCAGCGGTCGAGCCATGCAAAATTGCAAGCCCTGTGGCTGGAGGCCCATTATCAGGAAGCAGAGAGGCTGAGAGGACGCCCGCTCGGGCCCGTCGACAAATACCGCGTCCGCAAGAAGTTTCCTTTGCCCCGAACGATCTGGGATGGTGAACAGAAGACGCACTGTTTTAAAGAACGGACACGATCTCTCCTCAGGGAGTGGTATTTGCAAGATCCGTATCCAAATCCGACAAAGAAGAGGGAGCTGGCGGCTGCGACGGGGCTGACGCCGACGCAGGTGGGCAACTGGTTCAAAAACCGACGGCAGCGGGACCGCGCTGCGGCGGCCAAGAACCGATCTGCTCTCCTCGGCAGAGGCTTCGCCTCCTCCTCCACGTACGACGAGGACTCAGTCGACTCCGAGATCAACGTGGACGAAGAATAGGCCGAGCCCGTGTACAGACTGATAGTGTAAATAATCACGGTGATACAATTTTTATAAGCGCGACTCCACCGACCCGCTCGGCCGTCGCACGAACGTTCTCAGTGACAAATGGACGATGCAATATAGACAAAGTTATTGATTATCCCAGTTAGAGTCACAAAGTCCGTGATGTATGTGATGTTAAGGCATGGTAAACAAGTTTATTAGGGCATAATTTTATTGTTGAAAGTGTAAAGCGAGTGCTTGAAGTAAAATCAGCATTTCTACGCATCAGGTATGTACCTCTCTACTTTGTAGTGAAGTTTCGATGGGTTTCATAAATTAAGTATTTTCGGGCTATTCCATCATTTTTCTAGCAACAAGAGAAAATTTTAAATTTCGGTTAAACAGGGTTTATTTCAAAGTTTTATTCGAATCACTATTGACTTATCCAGTGAGGATATTCGATTATTTATTTAGTTTTCTTTTAGGTAAAGTTATAAGATCTATTATGCCTTTTTCCGACAAGCATTTACTTACCTAAATATTTAGTATTGTCCTAACTAATTTACCAATAAATATAGTTTTATTTATCGTATACATTTTAGTTAAACATTAAAATAATTATTGATAATGTTGGAGGAATAGAAATTATATGTACTATGATATTCGAAGTTTTGTACCTGAGCACGGACGACTTCGTACTCGTACACTCGCTGATTTAGAACTTGTTGCAACCAAATTGTATTTAACTACATCTATTTTATTTATTTATTGCGGTACATGGTATGTTTCCATAGAAAATACATTGGAAATGCTGTAAAAATTGTTTTTATTCATTTTCTAGCAGTGACAACTCTATGTTGCTCTCTACATTTAGGCCTAAGTGAGCCGCGCGTACAACTTGCAATGTGCCGATATTTGTTTGTTAGGTACTTGTGTCCATTATTTAAGTCCTGTTACAATGTTTATCTGTTTTAACTCTTATTACCTAATTTAGGCTTTAATTTATATGCGACTGTTTTCAAAATTATATTTCTTCAGTAAAAACTCAGTAAAACTCAGTAAAACAATTTAGTTACATTAAAAATAAAATTGATTTTTCTGTTCCTCTTTCTTAGAGTATTTTTAGGGCAGAATTAATTTTAAGCGAGTAATGTTAAATTGGCAACATAGAAAATTACATACGATATAATAATATTCAAAGAGGCTATTAAAAACTGATATGAATATAACAGTATTTACAGCATTTCTTTAATCTTGTACCTACTTTCTGCAATCTGATCAGATCATATTTTTTCAATTAGAATTTGCGAATTTACTGAAATTGTATTTTAAGTAGTTTTCATACCTACAAAATCTTGTGCATTATAGGTAATAAACGTTATTTGAAAACGTTAGGTAGTGTAGGCTATAGGTATAGACGCGGGAGAGATTGTAAAAATGTATAATATAAACAAATGCAAATTGTAAATATGATATCGACTTACATTACAGTCATTAAATTAAAATTGTTAATAAAATTATATTCGTAAACATTTTTCTTGTATTATTGATTACCCGTGTGCTTCCAAAACTAATAATTATTTACTTATTACTTACGGCTAAAAATAAAATGCATTGGAAGAATTTATATTAACATTGACTTTTAAAGTAACTGTTAGTTACAACTAAATTGGGGTGTTGGTGATCTGTAATATTAAATTCTTCTGATTACGTCTCGTTTATAATTTGTAAATCGCACAATTTAAAGACATTTCTGAAACATCATAGATTGGCCTAGAATTTATTAAGTAGAGATACCAACACAATGTAATGCAAAAAATGCAGTAGAGGACAAAATCAGTGTATTAATAGAGTCATTTATAAGATGACAAAAAAAAATGTCATCAATAGCAGTTAAATTTAACATTTAAAATTTAAAATTTAAATTTAACAACGATTTAGATGGATATTTAAGTAAATTGTCGTCACGCCTTGCCGATTAGCGGGAATTAAACTTGAACCGATGACCTAGTAGTAACGGACACTGCAATAATTGAGTTTTAAACACAGTTTTGTATCAACAACTGCAGTTAATTTATGTTCTTTAACCAGTATCTTCGGGTAACGACACGAATAGTTTTGTAACGTTTTCATAGCTGATATTGAATACTTCTAGTCTTCTTGATATCTTAAAAAATATCTAGGGTAGGACTTAATATTTATTTTTAGCGGATATGATTTTTTTTAAAATTTATATTGTTGTCATTGACAGTTTATCTTTTCCCTGAGACTAACACAAAATTCAATGGTTTGTTTTCATTTTATGATCACTTAGAACTTGCTACGGTGAAAATGAGAATAATATTATAATAAATAAAAAAATACTTCAAATTTCACGAAGAAAATGAAAAAATAGATTAATTAAAACGAAATTGATGAACAAAACCAATTGAGCTGAATTATTAAAGTTATTCCCGAAAGAAAAAATATTGTTGTAAATACGAGTAGTTTGAGTCTAATAAAATATTAATACTCGTGAGTAAAAAATGTCAACGTTTTCAGTAGACACAAGTAAGCTTATCTCTCTAAACTGATAAGAAAAAGATTAAGAAACTATCTTAAACCATTTTAAGTAGTCATGAAAATAAATGTTGAAAGCAAAAGGCTTACCTATCCTTTGCAAAGATTAAAATAAGTATCATATTTCGTGATGAAGTTTAGGTCAGCAGGAATAATCATCGTGAAACATTAAAACCATAATTTAAAACCTTTTTTCTTCTTTATTCAACTATGATAAAGTGGGTATGGTAAACATATTAATACGACTTTAGAGGGTCAACAAGGATCTTGCAACGATGTGATCAACGATAGGTACCTAGTGCTTAACTTTTATAATAATTTAATGATAGTAAACGCATTATTAAATAATTGATAGAGACGTTTTTTGTTCTTGGTAATTTTCTTTTACAGGTTTCAGGTTTTGTTACAAGCAATTTTACTTATGGTGTTTTTAAATTCTGGAAATACCAGTATCTTCTGTACATAAGTAGAAACTGTCAGTGTGACTGTGATCCTGAACAAAATGTCTGTCAATAACAACAAGTCGGGTAGAGCCATAGGCGAATGCTATGCTAGTTTTAAATACAAAAGGCCGTTATAACGGGAAATAAAATAATTACAAACCGAAGACATTAGTAATTGCAGCTATAGGGAGCGCGGTAATCACTTAATCAGCGCGGATCAGCGCGATCACTGCGTCTGCAGTGATTAACCTCGTTAGACATCAATTATTTACACTTACGGTAGTTTTTCGCACTTACGGCCTTTATCACCCTTGTAAACAACTTCATATAAATTAACGACGCTTTTTTTTACCAAAAAGTTAGTTTTATGTAGAGTCGATGGTAAATAAAAATATTTTTTTATTAAAAAAAGGACTGTTTAGGTTAACGTACCTTCGGCCGCAAGTTTAAGTTTTGTTTAAAGATTTGGTCACCAATATAAAGGGATTAATGAAAACCGGCTCTATTTTCTCAGGAATTTAATGGAATTTTCTTCCGAAAGGATAATTAATGTTCTTTATTTCTAATACAGATATAAAAAAACCCTATTTACCTATTGCAACGTAAAGCTTTTTACAGTCAACACATACAAAGCCAATAATGATTAGTGTGAAACTTTGCTCGCAAGATGGCTTCCACTTAAAGCCACAAAAGGCATTAATTTACACAATTCCATTTCTTATCTTTTCATTATCATACATTCATCAATGTAGATAACGGTTATGTACCAAGTTTCATCATTGTAAGGTAGAGTCATAATGAAATAAATTTTGGATTTATGACAGTTTACGTTTTATGAAATGAATTTTTTTTTTAAATTAATGCAATGGAAAATCTTAGGTATATTCGATTCTGACATGATTTTCTTGCTACAATAATTATCTCGAAATACAAATTACACATTTATTATCGGAAGTCGGCTAAAAATAATTTAAAATTATTCGACTACTAATACACTCTGATCGAAAGTGTTATTATCCCAAAATGGTCATTTTCACGGACGCATTGTTTTTTTCCGAGTACGCAGTTCAATATGATTTTCTTTTAAAGGTACTCGTATTTAAATGATATTTACTTAGATACAGTTTTGTTTATTTAGGAAAGATTGTTTAATTGGTCACTTATTAAAGTCTTCATTGCTTGCGTTTCAGAAAAGTTATAAATGAGAGATCGGAAGCAATGTTTATATCTTTTAATGATTGTCTACAGAATAAACTTGTAAATATTTGTACTATGTGACATAGGATATTGTAACTTACAATCCCACGATTAAATAGGAATCAGCTAATTACGTGCAATGCCATTTGTTATTCTTCAATAGAATGCCAGTAAATCAAATTTTGACAGGATAATGACAACAGTATTCCTATCATATACATACACGGGTGTAATTATCTGTTTGTGACAATTAATAAGGCATGTAATCAAGGCTTTAGGTAATCGTTTGAAAATCGCGCATTACTAACGTACATAAATCTATCGATCGTATTTAGACTGGAAAAACCCATTGATCTTGAATGGATTCTTATTGATTTATGTACCTTTATGCCTACCTGGGAAAGCTATGGAAAAGAAAATATTTCACGCATGTCTCTACATGTAAAAATAATAATTTTCAGTAGAGTCAAAGGTCTAAATACAATACCTGATTAATGGCACAAGTCCGACGGGTCATTGCATGACTATTAAAAAAACTATTATTAACGGGTATTGCATTATGTGATGATGGACACTCCGTTCTCTTCAGATTGTTACAGAATAGGTAGAACTGTTTAATCACAACTTAAATTTATCCCCATTGACACTTTAGATGATTATTTCAAACCACTTCATAAATACGCAGGCATTATGAAATAAACTGTCTGCTATAAACCTTATTCCTTTGCTAGTTATGTCAAAGACTCAAATTCAAAACACCTCTCTTAACATAAATATCAATTTAAAAAGAAACCAACCATTCAATTAATACGACAAAGAGCCTTACATCACGGCAATAAGATTACAAATCGTATGAATTGATTTACTTTTTTTTAAGAATCAGTAAGCCTGGCCTGTCAAATTTTAATACGAACCTCTGTTGTCTTTTTTTGAATATGGAATAAGGAAAAAATGGAGTCGACCGTCGAGCTAGACACGTTAATTGCAACTCAAACAAATTAACGGACATATCGTTAGCTAATGACTCTCGAATAGGTGATGGCTGACGTTTGTACGTAGAGGATAATCGCACTGTCTGGACTCCATTTTTGAGCAGCTGCTTATCTTGTTCGAGGATTATTAAGTCGTCCACGGAATAGTTTTTTGACGTTAGTTGGTCAAACGTAATAAGATCAATTAGCATGTTTGTTTAAGTCTTACTAACAACGATTATGAGTACATGTTTTTTCATATACTCTTGCATAGCACCTTGTAATACCTCTGCTTAGAATTAGTATTGAATTCCTTGGGTTTCTAGTGCAACATTAATTTTTTTAGTTAAAAGTAACTTTGAAGACGGGTAAATATTTTTTGCACCGTTAGACGTTTTTTTCGTTATAATAACTGGTTAAGTACAAAGTTAACATTACCTTCCCTTGTAACAGTGGCTTAAATATCCCCACAAACAAATTAACCTCCAAATGTGCGTGCCTACCAAAAACATTGGGAAACTCGATTGTTTATTTTTAGGCCTATTGACGTCTCCATCGGCTCGGATTCCTCCCGGCGCCGGGGCTGTCAGTTTGACAGCTTGTAACCGTTCAACTTTTTTCGATTCTTATTTTAAACAATTCTATCCAGCCACGTTTTTATTTTTATTAGTTGACAAAACTCTTTGGACGCTGACTGTTGATTTAGATGTTTGTTTTTCTGCCAGATGAAATCTTCGAGTTGTTTGACT